GAGCCCCGCAGCACCGAGGAGCTGCCAGGGGGAGCACCAGCCCAGGAACCGCTTTAAAAAGAGGGTTGTGGGAAAGGAACAAGTGATGGGGCAGAGCCCAAGGCACAGGGTACCCCAGCCCCCCTCTCCCTCTGTGGGGCTGGGTCCCCCCTTTTCGTACAGGCACAGCCCTGAGCACAGACAGGGCTTCTCCGAGGGCTTTTCCAAAGGCAGCTTTTAATGGTGCAACCGCTACAAGCTACAACTGTAACCCCACCGTTCGGACAGCCCTCCCGAAAACCGGCCGGGAAGAACAAAACCAAAGAGGAGGTGGTGGCCAGGGGCTTCTGGCTTATAGCCCCAGCAAAGCCATGGCCAAAACCACTGCCCAGCCCCACCGTGAGAGCTCCAGAAGCAGAGGCAGGGCTCAGTTTTGCTCCTTCCTCTCAGGGCTGAACAGCAGATCCCAAATCATTAAAGGAGCTAAGAGCAGTTGGAAGGTTGTAGGTTGAGGCTATCTCTGCACAAAAGCCAGCAGAGGCAGTATCTGTGCTAGTCTTGTGCCAAACGTAAGGTCTTCCCATCCAGCCAAAACAGTCCCTTGGGCATTCAACCCTCCCAGGAGCATGGGCAACCCCTCGCTCCAGCTCCTTGCAAAGTGACACCCAAATGCTACAGGTTTGCAGGAAAAGCCTTGCTATGAAGGCAAAAGAACGATCCCCTGGCTGTGGCTGCAGGTTAGGAGTTGCCCTTGTTGCAAGCCCAGGGGATCGGTGCAGGGAAGCACACATAGATCCCAGGATGCTCCAAGAGGGCAACGTCACAACAATTCTCCCTGAACCACCACTGACCTGTCTGGATACTCCCAACACCTCCAAACCTGTTGCCTGTAGTAGTGGGTCAGGATGGAAGCAGGGAGACACTCGCCCATGCCCTGATCTCCAGAGTCCTTCCTGCTGGCACAGCACCCCAGCACTGCCAGCAGTCCCTTCATCTGGGTTTCCCCACAGAGTGCTGAAGGCGAGTGGAGAGGACACCCCTGCCCAAAGTGCTCCTTCTCTCCGTGGGGCTGGAAGGGCAGCCCCTGGGAAGGAGAGGAACAGCAGCCCTGGCTGCGGGCTCCTGCCAGCAGTGGCTCCAGAGCAAGGCTAGGTTTCAGCAGAGCTGAGCTGCCAGGCTCCCAGGGCAGCTTGGGTGGTGCTCCCCCAGCCCCAGCGCTGCCAGGAGCTGCCCAGCACCAGCACCACCACCACCACCGCTGCTGCTGGAGGCAGCGATGGGCAGAGTCCTCCTCCGGGCAGGAGCCAGCTAGGAATCGGAGAGGCACAGGGCCTCCACGGCATTGCTCAGGCCCTGGCTCACCCCGCCGACAGCCAGCAGGCAGTTCCGGACCACGATGCTGGAGCAGGCACAGCGCGGGGTGGGCATGGGGGGCAGGCTCTCCCACTTGTTCTTCTCGGGGTGGAAGGCCTCTGCGGACTCCAGGACGGTCGGCTGGTTTCCTGGAAGCACAAGTTGAGGCACCAGGTCAACTGGGAAGCACCAGCTAGCATCCCTTGTCTGCTCCGGGACAGCGTCTGTGCTCTGGACCCCATCCCCTTCCTTGCTCCTTCAGACCAGCCAGGGCCAAAAACTCTCCCCTCTGCCATGATAACACAACTCACATGGGCTTTTAAAGTATAACCACCACCCCCAGTGCCTTACCTAGTCCCCCAGCCACAACGACTCTGCCTTTCAGGTAGCCGGCCACAAAGTCTGCTCGTCTTTTCTTCAGGTAGAAGGAGCGCTCCATCTTCATCCAGCCCCCTGGGAGAGACAGGACAGACCAGACATTGCAGGAGCATCCATTCCTGGGAAGCCATCTGTACCTCTGACCTCCTACTTGCTCGTAGGAGCGCAGCTTTGCTGCTGCACCTTGGGTTAATAAAACTCCATGACACAGGGGTCGGCTCCATCCCTATCAGGTCAGGAGGGAGCTGTTAACCCTAGCTTAACTCGGGAGGATGCTTTTCCCCTCTGCTTCCCTGACTTGTTCATCTTGACTTGCAGGCCTTCCTCTAGGCTGGGCTCAAGTCACCAGCAGCCCCAGGACTCAGCAGATGAGAGCTCTGTGCTCTGCAAGGACAGCAAAACCCCCAAAGCGCCGCCTCACGTGCCACCCACCCCGCTCCTCTGCAAAAGGACAGAGCTGGGACAGCCCCCACCTTGTTCCATGTCAAACACGTCCACGGTCCTCATGAACTTGGGCTGCCGGTAGAGCCGTCCCTGCCGCAGGCCGCCGAGGCTGAAGAGTTTGTCTTCTGTGGGCACGAAGCTGGAGAAGGCCCTTTTGTTGGGGATGTTGGGAAACTTGGTCCACGACCTGGTCTCTGTGTCAAAGACCTCGAAGGCATTGATAGCGTACTTGGACTGCCTTCCACCTGGGGCAGGGGAGATGGAAGGAAAAGGGTCAGCTTGGCTCATAGCACCAAGCCGACGGCAGCAGGAACCAGAGGAGCCTCCTGGGGCAGGGTGAAGGTGAGCTGCCAGCTGCTATGATGTCCCCAGGTCTCAAGTCACCTGGATGAGGGCCGGCTGAGCCAGGTAACTTCTCACCCTTGCGCTCCCTCGCCTGTAACCACAGGCTCATGACACGAAATCGCTTCATTTTTCAGTGCATCACACCCTCTGCTTCCCTCCACGCCGGCAGCAGCGGGTCGCTGGCACAGGAAGGCGTTTAGTATGCACCGGTTTAATCAAGACAAATTCACAGCAGAGCAGGGATCAGCGCTCAGGGAGACTTTGCAATTCAGATGAGTTCAGCGCCGGTGCAAGCCAGCAAGCCCCGGCCGCGCTGCTGAGCTCCTGACAGAGCAGGAGAGCCAGAGCAGCTGCTGCTACCACCACCAAAGACGGGTATTATTCTTCCACCCATCAGGTGCAGATGAATACAGCTATTCTCAGCTCAGATGCTCAGCGTGCCTTTGAAGGCAGAGCCTGTGCTCGCTACTGGGCCCACAAACTGTTTGCCAGCAGCAAGCAAACTGCAAAATAGATCAAAGAGTCTTTTCTGGTAACCCCTAAAGAAAGCCAGGGCTGTCTCGGGGTTTGAGCCATGAGGACTCCTGTGTTTGGATCATGATATGCCATTTGGCCACAAGCTAACAGCAACATTTCTCTGCCTTAGTTTCCCTGGGTTTTTTGGGTTTTGTTGTTGGTTTTGGTTTGCTTTTTTTGTTGTTGTTTTTGGATTTGTTTTTAAAGGCAAAACTAACGAAAATCACCCCCTGCAAAAGGCTCGGTCCAGCGCTTCCCAGCTACAGCGGGTCTTTCCTCTGCTAAAGGCAGACCTTTTGTGAAGCTGCACGGTACCTTGCTGTTATAAGACACATTAGAAGTATTTTTATTCACTACTTGAGTCCAAAGGCTTTTAGTGCAGTCACGGGACTGCAAATTGAGCAGGCAAAGGCCAGCTCTGCCCTCAGCTGCCAGCAGCCACGGATGAGCCTGGGACAGGGGAGGCTGCTCACCCCACACAGAGCTGCTGCGAGACCTGTGAGCGCCCCAGGTGTCCAAGGGTGCAGGGGTGGGTGCTTGCTAGGGAGCTGTGAATTCAAACCCAACACCAGCCCCACTCAATACCTCCAGCTGCAAGCTTGGTGTTTCTGAACGCATGAGAAAGCAGGCCGGGAGGGAGAGGAGCGTTCCCAAATGCCTCTTCCAGGGAGGTTTCTCAGTGCTCAGATCAAAGGAGCTGCTGCCCGAGGAGGAGGAGGAGGAGGCAGGACTGCTTACCCAGCACGTAGATCTTGGTGCCTCGCAGGAAGGATGTGGCAGCGTACCTGGGTGTGGGCATGGCCGCCAGCGACACCCAGATGTCCTTGAGCATGTCGTAGTGCTGCAGGTAGTTGTGCGGCCGCAGGTCAGAGCCCATCCCACCGGCTGCATAGACTCTGTAGTCTGGACAGGGCCAAGAAGCAAAGAAAAAAAATAAAAATCACACAAATTATTATAGGAAAGCATCAGAAATCTTCCCCCCCGCACCCTGCAAAAACACACGTGCTGCCACACGATGTGGACCAGAACTGTTCAGTCCTCCCTGAGTCGCTGTGTGTGTCCCCCAAGCTCCCATCCTTGGGGAAGAGGGGAACACACCAACACCGATGCTCTTCCCCCAGCCCCGCTCCCCCATCCGGGGGCTGCTGCACCTCGGCTCAGCTCCTGCTTTGCCCCACCAAGGTCTGGCACAGGATGTTGGCTCCACGACCCAGACCAGAGAGCTCAGAGCCCAGACAAGGCACTAAGGCTCTTACTCCTCACCAAATCCGTATCAGCTATATCCATCTCTGGTTAATGGCAAACCTGACCCTCCAGAGCAAAATCCTACCTGTCCAGCACCCACATTATCTCCTTCAACAAGCACTTCGCTGCACAGACAAGATTCAGGAGATCAGCAACTGCAGCCTTGCCCTTGCGGGCAGCTGAAAAAGCAAAGACCAGCCCGCACACTGCAGGGATTTGGGCAGCTATTTCTTGTTCCTGGCCTCTCGCACCAAACTGACCCTGCCGTATCAGTCAGGCAAGCTTAGACTTGGAGAGAAAATCATCTCCAAGATGGTAAACATTATTTTTAAACATTCCTTGACCGTAGCTTTTAAACCTACTTAAGCAAACAAACCAAGCAGCTTTCAAAGAAGCTGCCTGGAGATTAGATTCGTAATCCGAGGCACGGCGGGAAGCTGGCTGACCTCGGGCACGCTGCTCGGGAACACAACTCCCAGCCCCAGGCTCTTCAAAGCACAGGCAGAGCATGCTAAAGGAAATCAATGCACCACATCTCTGCTTAGAAATTAAAAGAAATGAGATGGGCTGATAAGGCAGAGCCTCGTAGGCATTTAACAAGCCCAATTTAGGGCAGCGGTTAAGCTTTTGGAGAGGAGCTACACAGCAGCCCCGCATAAGGCCAGCTGCTTCCCCTCCTCCTACAATGATTTGAGCCCAACTGTGAAGCCAGCTCTCTCCTGGCTGGTTCTGGGTTTGGACCAGAGATACCTCTTCCAACCAAAGCTATTCTGTGGCTCCGAGACCTTCCCTTCCGGCTCCACAGCTCAGCCAGGTCCTCCCAGCCTGGCTATGCTCAGCCAGCAGCACCATTCCTATTTTTCCGGGACCTACAGCACACAAAGACCAGAATTTGCTACAAAACCCTGGAGAAGTTTGATTTGAGGTCCTGGAGCTTGGACCCATCTGAAATATCCCCAGGTACAGCACAACCATGGCCCTCATGGCTCCTGGACTGACAATACAGAGCAACCCCCGGGTTTATCTGCTTTCAGCCACCTACAGGACAGTCGTCTTTAGCAGGTGGGATATGACAAATACACCAGGTTCAACTTCAAGGGGTAAAGAAAAGGTTTTGGAGAACAACATAACCCTGTGCCATTGCCCAGAAAGCTTTTGTGCCTGATGCATCCACCGATCCCCACCTCCCCACCCTGCAGGCATCCCTCCCTGCCCTGGAAGGACTGAAGCCTCCTTGCCTTTTGCAGTCACCGAGATGCCCATGGCTGCCTCTCTCAGCGAGCTCCTCTTCTTCCACTTGCCCTCATCTACGTTGTACATCTCCACGATCTTCAGCGGCATCTGGTTCACTCCAACCCCTCCTACCACCATGATCCTCTTGCCCAAGGTGGCCACAGCCACCCCGGCCCGGGCCGTGGGCATGGGGGGCAGCGAGGTCCACTGGTTGGCCTCGGGGGAGTAGACCTCAAAGCAGCCCACGGGGACACCGTTGTCATCGCAGCCCCCGATGGCAAACACTTGCCCGCCGGCTTCCACCAAGGTCGAGTAGACCCTGCGGCTTGGGAGCGGGGCGAGGGTTTTCCACTGGAAGTCTTTGGTACTAGCTAGCTCCATGGTGGCCGACGGGGGGCAGGCAGCATCGGTCCCCTGCCCTCGGGAGGGGGGTTGGCTACGCTGCAAAACAGAGCAGAGAAGTGCCAGGGAAAAAAAAAAAAACAACGGAGAAACGCGACGTGCAAACGCCATCCTCCCCCCTGGCAGAGCTGCAGGCAGCCAGGAGCAGAGCAGGGATGGGAGCATCCCCACCGGGCAGCCTCCCGCAGCCACCCCCCACCACCAGCGGCCACCAGTACCTTTCATTGCGCCTCCATTAATCCTGCAGTTCCAGATCTGCCTCAGAAGCTCATGGAGAGACTGATCCTAAAAATAAAACAAAACAAAAGAGAAGGGAGGGGGGGGAAGGCAAGAGAGGTTGGAGTCAGTTTGTTATCCTGTTTCCTGAGCATCCCCGCCCCCAGGCGACATTCCCACTGAGGAGGCTGCAAGCCGTCTGCTCACTTCCCCGGCTGTTTTCCTGCCTGCTGGGGAACTCTTCCTTGTGTCCTCCTTCTCTGACCTCATTATTCCTCCCGACCCCCTGTACATCCTCCTGCAGACCCCGGGGATGACCCGCGCTGGTAGCCCTTGGCCAGGAAAGGCGAAAGCCAGCACTCGCCCCTCCACACGCCGTGGAGCTGTGAGGCATCTAGAGAGCAGCCCGGGGAGGAGAGGCACAAGCTCTGGCTGGAAACCCACGGTCTTTTTTTCATCTCCTCTCTCGGAATGGCCATTAAGCATGCAAATGAGATTAATTAGCACAGGAGGACAGAGAGAAGGCAAAGAGAAAGGAACAAAGGCAGCAGCTTGCTCGATCGCCCAGCATGGAATAAGGTGCGTTTTGCACCGAGCATCTCCGCCTTCATTGTGTAACTGAGGTTGTTTAACAATTGCCCTTAAAACGAAGTAAGATTTATCTTCACCCTTGCAGACACAGCAGTCTCTCCCAGCACATGCTGCATGCACAAACATTTGGAGACAGGACTGTAGGGCAGGGTGAGCAGTTGCCAAAAAACACCCAAAAAGAAGGCATAGTCCCGGCTAAGCACTGCTCTGATGTAGGACAGCATCCTTCCCTCTTCTTCCCGTGCCCACACTCCTAAGACTTTCCCCCGTGGATGCTGAGGCCCCACTGAGCCCCTGAAAAGAGCTTCCCCAGCAGCAGAGCAGGGCTGGCTGGCTCTGCTTTTCTGCAGAGCACCGTCTGAAAGCCCCCGGAGCAGAGGTTCACTCCTGAACCCGCTTCCCCACCTCCTGGCTGGCACCCAGCACGAGGCCAGAGCCTCAGCACATCTGCTGCTTGGGGTTATTTTTTTTTTCTTCTGCTGCAGCAGCGTGGATGTGGGGTGGGATGCAAAGAGCCAGCTTCCTCTCTCCTACCTAAGATACCCAAGCACAAATAAAGCAACCAACTATTATGGGCCTTGGGTTTCTCAAGAGGATGGACTCCCTTCTCCCCAAAAGGAGCTGCAGCCTTGTTTCCTGCTGCTTCATCTGGAGCAGAGAGTGAATAAGGGGGCTCTGCAAAATTCCCTGACCCAGGAACATGCCCTCCCCACCCCGCGCCCCACCGCCGCGCCCCACCGCAGCACTTACTCCCCAGGTCTGACCACAGCCCTCCAGCTCTCCCAGCCCTCTGACAGCCGGAGCAGACAGAGCCTGTAGCTTAGCAACAGCCACCTACAGCCACCTTCCATCACCCCTCGCTTCGGATGATCCGAGCGGGTATCCTGATGCTTTTTGGGGACCACAGCAGGGAGCAACGGGGATCCCCCTGGAAGGGGAGAAGCCCCGGGGTGCACCGGGCTGCACACGCAGGGCAGAGGCACGCAGGCTGTCGCTGCTGCGCCCCACACTGGGGATGCCACAGGATTTCTTCCACAAATTCACGCCTGTTGTGTAAGCAGGGAGACAGAGACGGCCCTCGGACCACAGCCAGGGCACTGCTGTTATCTCAGACAGGTACAACGCAGCATCCCCTCAAACTGCCCATCTCTGCCTCGGGGCTCAGCCTGCAAGGGCCGTAGCCTGCAGGGCCCGTCTGAACAGGAGATCAGTTTCCACAGCCACGTTAGCTCCTACATCTCCTCTGAAAGTGTGAATTAGAGGGGAGCGATGGAAAAGCAGCAGTGAAACAGGTCTCAGACAACTGGACTGAGATCCATCAAAATCGCTTCGCGTACGAGTCTGAGCCGGCATGAAAACCAATCAGTCCAGGCAAGGCTGTTTATTTTCATTTATTCTCCCAAATAAATTTCAAGTCAGCTAAGCATCGCTTACTGCACAAAGAACGCGGTTAATAAACCCATCAGTACCCCTTGGGCTGCAACCCGCCAGCAGCAGGACCCAGCGCAGGCACATGCGCACATCCCCGGCACCTTGGGGGCCCTAGTACAAAGGAACACAAAGCAACAATAAAAAGCAGCAGCGAGTCAAGCCACATTTCACATCTTCCCAGCAGCTGAGGAGAAAGGGGCAAACAACAGACTAGATCACCAGCTGCTGTTCTCCCCTCCCTTCAATCCCTCGTTGTCTGATGTGCAACTGGATCAGCTCAGGGATTTTTGCCTTGGCAGTTTAAGCAGCTCTGGACTATTGCTTTCATGAATAATTTATTTTCTTTCCAGGTGAATTTTCATGTATTACCATAGACAAATTCAGCACGGGCCAGCAAATTAGAAAAGCAGAGCCAGCTCTGGTTTCCAGGAGCACGACAGATTTGCATCCCGACCTCTGAGAAGTCATTTTCCTGCCCTGTGCCTCAATTTTGTCGACTATAAAGAGCAGTCCTGGGAAGAGACACAATCAGCATCGCTCAAACGCCTGACAGAAGCAGAATCTCACAGCCAGTGCCAGCCAGTTTCTCCGCTGTCATTAAGGCTATGCAAAGCTTGAGCATAATTGTCTAAAACTGCCTAAAAATTCTTTTTTCAACATACCAGCACACAGAGCGTGACTCAAAGCACTTGGAGACGGCCGAGTGTTTCTGTGGAGCGCTGGGCAGGTCCTCCATGAGAACAGGCAGAGCAAAGACCTGCAAATCCAGCCCAGCTGTGGTCCCAGACAGTGGGAATCAGCAGCTCCAGAGAGCCACCACCCTCAGCAGCAGTAACGCAAGGCAGCTGAATTTGGGCAGAGCTTTGGCACACACATCACTTGCTATTCTTTTCTTTCATGCTCTTTAAAGAAAATCAAGGTCAGTCTGAAACACTGTACCCACCCCCTTTGTCTCCATCTCTCCAGCATCACCTGAATCTCACTAGAAAGCAGTGCCAGCCCTGCGCTGTAGGAGCTGGGAGCTGTCAAAATGTGCTGACCAAACACCCCCCCCTGCGCTGCAGCCATGTTCTCCTCCCAGGCAGAGGGAATTATCACTTAATTATAGCACACAAATTGGAAGCATTAACTTTCTTTTCTTAAATAGCTACATTAAAACCAAAATGAATGGTAATTGCATTTCTGTCAGAGGAGACGGCAGGCAGGGTGCTGAGCCCACTCCGGGGCCCAGCCCTGACCCTCGCGGGACAGAACCCTCTGCTTTAAGAGCTCAGCAAGCGGCCCAGCACCCACACACCCTGCTGGGGTCTTTGCCAAGTGGCTGTGGAGCACGGCTGGGCAGGGAGAGCCCCACAGCCCCCACCAGGAGGGGGACAGGGCTCCGGCAGGAGAGGGGCACCTCGGTGCGCAGAGCTGGGCTCCCCGTGCTGTATCACCCAGAGGCTCCCTCCAAGGAGGGGCCGTTCCTGACCCCACAGGTTGCCCCAGGCTCATTTTGGAGAGCTCCTGCTTTAGTGGCATTTCTTACCTGCAACGATTTGTGATTTATAAAAGAGAGATGCTGGTGGGTATTAAAGTGATAGATGGGCTGAACAGGGGAGAGAGATCTTGGTGCTGCTTTTGCTTTCCTTCCCATCTCACCTCTCTCCAGGATTTAGAAGTGTTGCCACTCCAGGTTGGAAAGTCCCTCAGCTGCAGAAGGCCAGCACATGGAGCCAAAATCCTCACCCTCTAGCCATCAGGGCATTCTTTCAGCTGATGCACTACACTAAGTATTGCATTGCAACGCCGCTGCATGAGCACGGAGCGAAAAGAGGTCCTATTTACACCTCTCCAAATTGAAGGAAGTATAAAAAGGCCCCAGAAGATGGAAAGCAACGAAGATACTCCCAACTCCTCTATTTTTAATGCCCATGATGAGGATATCTAGCACCAAGACATCACTGTACGCTCCCCCCCAGCCACACTTATGCATAACACACACATTCCCTCCAGTGAGGAACTCAGGGCTAGAAACAGAGACCTCTAATCCTCACCCAGCCCGAGGCAGGTAGAGCTCACTATGAACTGACCCTGTACCACGTTTGTCCAACTTGCCCTGAAAAGCTTCCAGCACTTCTGCAGCCCCAGCAGCGGATCACTGCTGTGCCCCACGCAGCATCACCTGCTCAAACCCTCGCTTTGGGATCAGTGTTCGTTTCAGGGACACCACAAAGATCCAAGAGACCACTGCAGTTCTTCCTGGCATCCCATCACAAGTCCCCTAAAGCCATATCCAGCTGACCCTCAGCTTCACACGACCCCAGATTTCCATCACCAGATCTGGGGACGGGTCAGACCCAGGACCTCCGTCACAGCCCCATCAGGAGCCGCGCTCCCAGAACATCACTGCTCCCCCACATCATCTGCCAACTGCCAAACGCCCACATGTCCCTTGCTGTCACCAGGAGCGGGTTAAAACAGAGATGCAGTCAGTCACTAGCCTGACAGAGAAGCCTATAGAGAAACCACTGGAGAAAAAGCTCTTGTACTCACCTAAGTGTCACACCACACAGGCACGGGGCAGTCCTGCCGTGTGCCACCCAACACGAGCAGAAGGGCTGCAAAGCTGAGCTGAAAGCAGCCTGACATCCAGCCAGCATCCCCAGCCAGAGCCGTAACGATTCCCACTGCTCTGGGGACGGGTGTCACAGGAGAGGCAGGAACAGGGGCAACAATATGCTGGAAATAGCACCCAAACA